GCTTCAGGTTGTATACAACTGAATCCACACCCACTATATGAGTCTCCCTCATAGTATAGAAGAAGATTAACTTTCGAAATTCACTTCACCGCCAATCTGGAAGGACCCCGACCAGGACTGATCGGCCTGGAGAAGAGCAGTGGAAACTGATGCAGCAATCTGCGAAGCCAACCGAACTGCCGCTGCTAAAGTCAAAAAGGCGGCTCATCAGTCACGAGTGCCCGAACCATGACCGTCAACGTCAAAGTCCTCGCAACCTGCATATGCTGCCGTTGTTACGAGTTTACACTTAACTTCGTGAGTGAAATTACGATGCAACAAGGAGAGCAACTTACCAAATTTGAGCTATACAATAGACGGTTGCTTTTAGTTAAAATTTCAGCAATGTTCGAATCCCCTACTGGAATTCAATAGACTGTGACGGATAAGGCCCGCTTGTGAACTGAATATAGTGGATGAAATTCATTTTGGGGACTAAAAATGTGACTTGTGCTGCAATTAAAATCAAAAACTAGAAGTGGGCTTGTGCCGCTCTGTGTGTTGCAGGCAAGAAATGCTGCATCTTTACACCCTGCCTGTTCCCTCTACGATAAAAATAAGCTCTCATGACAAACCTGTCTTGTAGGGCCGCCTAAATATCTACTCCCCCCGTTCAACTGTCTTGCGTAATTGGTGGTTAAACATTTAATTCTTGGTTAATAAGCGTTAATTAAGATTTAATTGTGTTGAAAGTGACCAAAAAAGATTAACCTAAAGCCAATTATAGCTGTTTTAGTTAGCTAAGTATAATCCACTCCATCAACATAAACTCCTTTTGCTCAGGCAACTGATGCCTTATGATGGAAATTCGACCTTATATTGACTAATTTCAACGAAAAAAGGGAACGTCGGGCTATAGCAAATGTAAGAGAAGCTTATTATTATAAGTCAAGAACAACTAGGACCTCTGGAGACAGTCCTACAGATTTCCTATAAAAGAAGCTGCTGTAAACTATTTTTTCGCTAAAACAGATTAGAAACAAATCGATGGACTGGAATTGCTATTAGATCTCTTCTCGAACAAGTCCCATAAGATGAAATCTGGAAAATAATTCGAAGGTTTCACAATTTTAAGATAGCCTCGGAGGCAATGTGTTTAACCGAGTTCGTTGGAGGACGACTATTGTCAAAAACAAATGGGCGCAAAATATAGCATGCCGAAAGCCAATAAATGGTCTCACGGAGAACTAGGTCAACAGGCATAAGGTTTGCTTTGTGAATGCTCACCAAAATCAGTGCTGAGAATGAACTTCAAGATGGAATTTATCTGGGCTACTCCGGTCGGATCATCAGCAATGAGCTCATTGAACCAACCACGGCGTCGCCGACTCAGAGGTGGCAGGTCTGTATACAGATCTTGCATGTCCGGCCCGAAGTCTGTCTGAGTTCCATTGGATTGAACATCATCAAGTGATTGTGTCAGATCAAGCGGTGGTTCAGTTGTCGTAGGGGTTCTAGTGGTGGTGGTTTGACTAAGAATACGCGAGAAACTGGGTGTTCTGCACTTGGCCAAAGTGGGCGAAATGACCACACTCACAGACTGCAATAGAGTTGAAGTGTCCTCTAAAAAGGTTTGAGCAGATGATATCATATAACTGCGAGACAACTAGATGCAGCATTAGTAAAGGATAATGAGAAAATTCAGAATATTGAATCGACTGAGGCGAATGAAAAAAGGCGAGAGCTCTTTTTGAGATTACGATTTGGCTGCAGTAAGCAACAAATAAAAAGACCATTTTATCTATATTGGTGGCCTTAGAAACAGTGGCAGAATAAAACAGTCGAGTAAGCAGTCCCTTTTGAAGCTTCGAAGCTGGCATGCAGACAACGTCGGTAACAAGGGAAACATTTGCAGCCCTTAAAAGATTCCCTATTTTGCGAAATTTACTTGCAAAGGGTGACATATTAGGAACGCGGACTGCAAAGTTAACGCGGATTCAAATCGGATAAAGGATTACTGGTAGGCGCGTATGTAGGTTAGCATTAAAGACAGCATTAATAATGGAACTAGGGAGTGGACTGCAAATAATTATCCCGATAAGATGTGACAGAGGCTGCAATTGATTGTTTCGCCAGGCGACATGCTTCACTTCAATGCTTCACCACCTAAACGAAACCGTGGTTTTATTGTGGGAAATTCTCAAAGGTTTATCACCGTAAAAAGAAGTGTTTAGATGCTTTTTCACAGTTGGGGCCGCTTTGAGTATTACTACTTACGCCTCCCGTCCTCACTTAAACCTGAGCACCGAGCCTCCACTAACATCTACAGTTAATAGCCAGCTGAGTCGATTTATTCTATAGAGACTGGGCCAACGAACCATTCCCTTTCCTGCAATTTTCGGAGCAGTTCACAGCTCTACTACAGATTAACTTCCAAATAAATGGAAGTGACACGTGCTAATCACAACGAATCGTTAGTTACATCGCACGCAGTCCATTTCTGGATCTTGGAATAAAAAAATTACAGGCAATCGCACAACGGAACAAAAACCCAAAAATAAGCATTCTTGGTTTGTCATAAAAAATATGCCGACATTGAGAGTTTACTTAGGATTTTATTTTTTCTCCTATGGCTATTGTTTTTTTAGCGAATGGGACTTCCGGTAGACTTTCTCAGCCATCCACTGGCTCTATAAGAGTAGCTGTACACAACCGCTTCATTGCTTCTCCTTTGTGGCATTCATCTGTCGAAACGTGTATACTAGTCAAAATGATGTTTCAATTAACAGAAGTTCAATGAAAAAGATATTATTTAGGGGGTTTGGCAGATTTGCCTAATTTAGTCGGCCCAATTGGGAAAAAACTTGCGTCGTCAGCGAGAGTCGAACCCGCACAGCATGGAAGGCCTTTACGCGGCCAACGCTCTACCACTTCAGCTACGACGCCACGCCGTGCGCAGTGAACCTAATCACACTTGGGTCGATTTTACCCACCCAACTTTGCCGCTCATATGGAATCCACCAATGTGGAACAGCAAAGGGAAATTTTCGCAGTTCCAAACTACAGTTTTCTTCAAATACACAAAGGAGAACTTGTTTGAGCATGCAACACTAAGAAACTCTATGATCTGGTAAGGTGTTTAGTTAGTACCTGTGTTGCCAATATGGTATATCGTTTAGTATTTTTGTGCTCTTAGTTGCCTGTTGGCCGTTTATGAATATTTGCGATTATTAAGCAGTAACTGGCAGATTTCAGCTCAAATGCTACTATCAGTTTTCGAACCGAACCCAAAAACGTTGTCTAAAAGGATTTACGCAAGTTAGCCCATTAATTTTCTTGAAAGGCAACGTAGGAAGCCATTATTGCTGGAACAAAAATAGGGGTCCATCAAAAGGAGATATAACCATTTAAATGGTGTGGTGACTGCTTGCACGTCAAATACGTTCACAATTTGGAAGTAGTTCTTCCGCCTTCTTATTAATAAATACGTCCTCGTGAGATTATCGCAAGGGACTTAACAAAAGACGATGAAGAAGAAGAATGACTTACTGTTTCCCACGGTTATGGTTCCAAATATAGGATCAATACTGAGTTTCTCCTTCTGCGACATGTACTGCACGTCAATATCACGCGGCTCAGCGGTCACGATGCAAATGCTTCAAACGAAAACATCAAAAGAGTACTCAAGACAATCTCATGTGAGATACCATTTATATGTTGCAGCAGAATTCAAAAGCCAACATCCGCAAGATGAAATAGTAAAAGAAACTTCTACGTTCCTACAGAAGCTAGTCGAACAAAAGAAGACATTTGACATTTGGTTTTTGAGCCTGGATGCATGTAACAGTTCAACGGAACGTAGAGTGAATACATTGTATCCATATGTTAAATCTGTGGCCTATCTCATGAAAAGTGATGACAAAGAATGAGACGAACAAGTATCGGCAACTTAAACGCTGTAGTTTTATTTCCTTTTCTAGCCTATTTCAGAAAATTTCCCTTTTTCATGCAGGATATATCTATAAATAATGCTTTCAGTCAGAATGTCTACAGATTTGAGTGGAAATCGGTGTAAGTATTTATTCTGCTGGGTTCCTATACTATTACATATCCTACGATATTCAGATGGACTCCTGCAAGAGTTCGAAAGCTCAGGAAAATAAATCAATTGATCCGGTGCTCGACATGTCTCCTTCCTTACCTATAACCACCGTTTTCGCCGGACAAAATTGTGGGACTAGGGGTATATGAGGTGAACCACATAAACTTATTTTGCCGAAGGATATTTTAACGCAAACTTCAATAAAACTGTTTTCCACTTATGTCGATTTACTTATTCGTTTCTTGCGTGGATAGGCTTTCGGTACATTTATTGTTTAAATTTGCTCAGTTACAGCGAATTTCGGAATTTCCCGCGCTTAGCATTTGATAGTTCACTTCTCGTAATTCTGCATAAAAGGAATACATTGCCTCTGAAACCTCTCCAGCCAGTATTTAAAATGCACAAATCTGGGTACTTGGCTTCTGATGCGTTAAACCGGAAGGAGGTCAATGCTTGCACATATAACTGTAAACTCTTCGATTTACAGAAGGATAAAATAATTATTGCGGTCAGTTTCGTGATGGTGAGTTGGATGATAAGTTGATAAAAAAAACACATTTAAATCGATTCAGTTTGGGCTAAATATGCCCATGAAATATTGACATTCATTGCTTACAGTATACGTTTACGTTCGCGCAAAGTTGATAGTAACCCTTTCTTATGACTTTGAATAAGAATATTCCTCAATGGAGGTCGTGAAGTGATAAAGACGAAACGTGAGCTCAAAATAATTCAGACACTGCTATACTCTAGCTTTCAGTACATATTTTCGATAATCGGACCTTTTCAAGTCTTTTCATGAAGTAGCATACATGTTTCTGCTAAGAACGCAAAGGAAGATTCCCCTGAAAACAAGCAGAACTTTGTCTCTAATAATGCTTTAATAAAACATTATTTAGCACACGGATGATTCTCATTTTATATATTTACAGATAGCAATGCCCGTCAATGGAGATTGACGGAGAGTCCATTCCTTGCAGCCATTTTATAGGCATTTAAATCCTTTTCAGCCGATTATTTGACGGCAGAGAATACCCTGCTAAGATTAAATTAAAATTTTGTTGAAATGTTTGCAGTTCTATGTCGCAAATCTTATGCAATCTTCTTAAGGATTATTTCGATTGCTCCAAATATTATTAATTTTCTAATAGAACTAATGTACATTCATAAAAAAGTGCAAAGAATTAGTGAAATTAATGTTAATAAATGGTTGCTAGACGTGACAAGTCTGCAGGCATTAAAAAGCTGACGTCATCTTTCAAACCACGTTGGCTTTCTGTTAATCGGTCCACAATAAAGGTGCGAATCCTTTCTTCTTCGTTTAGATTTTTGGGATGTTCCCTTCGAGCACTACATTGGGAAATTCCAAAGCAGAGACCGTATCAAATACCGGATCAGCAAAAAGGATACAGTGAGGAGTCTAAACGAACGGCAGAGGACTACGCGGGGATGGCCTGTAGAAAGTTATGAGTTAGCTTTAGACGGCGTACTCTTACGAAAAAGCCATATTTTGACGTAAAGAAGGAGTCTCTCCCCCACGTGACGCGTTATGTGGACAAATCTTCGAAAGAATTCGGTCTCGTTCCAGAAACACCTTCCGTTATATGCTTATATTTATCATTGTGAGTTTTGTCCATATAGTATTTTTAAAATAAATTTGCAATTTTTCCAACTTCTGTTCTTGAATTGACAAAATCAACTGTGTTCCAGTATGAATCCGAAAGCTTATGACTCTGTGACAATATAGTAGTGTATCATTAATACTGCTGATGAACACCCACATGAGTCACCCAAGAATTCAAAAGCAGAACCGCGAGGGGGGGTATGTTAATATGTCCAACTCCTGCCAGTGCGAGCTTCAGGACTCGGAGAAGTGTGCCTTTGTGGGTGTGTCATCGAAAGACACACTTTCGAAATTAACGGTTCACTCAAGCCAGACGATGCTGCTAAGATGCATCACTGCTCTGCAGTGCACCTATAAACGGAATCGGGGGCAACAAAAAATGATCTCTGATAGGTTGGCATGCTCACTGCTGTCTGTGTGTGAGAGATACAGACATACTCGCACTCAGACTCGCGCTCTAAGTTAGGTGTCACTATAGGAACGAGCTCATTTGCATGAAAAGTGCAATTTGAGCTGAGCTAAATGGGACGTAAACAAATATTTATCAAAACCCTCGATGATAGAACAATGCCGGTCAACATCCGTTTGTCAGATATGGTATATGATTTGAAGGCTTAAATCGAACGATCAGAGGGCGTACCAGTGACAAAATAGCGCCTTCTCTTTAACGGAAAGCAGCTGCTGGACACGAAAACCTTGAGTGACTACGATGTACAAGAAGGATGTACGATGTACTTGGTTTTACGGCTGAGGAGTAGATAAGCCAAATCTGCATTCTAACTTAATACTTTCCATTTAAATTGTTGCACTCTTTTTTGTTATAATAAATATTTTCCTGGTTGTTTCCAACTTCTGCTTTTGAGTCAATTAAGTAAAAGTTTCATCGTCAAGCCTCCAGCAATGTATGATTCGCTCAGTAAACTATACTGCAACATTCCTACTTCTGTTGAAATTCTTCATATGAATATTCTCACTTATGAATACTTCTTCATACGTCACCCAGTTCTGGCCTACTCCACCTCAGGCTACTAGTAAATGTCGGCTTGCGAGTTTGAACTCCTTTTTACGAATACTTGACCAAGACTAGCGCGCAGCCGTCTGTTTATACTTAAGTCCTCAAGTCAGTTTGTCCAGCTACCATAAATTTGCTCGACTATGACACTGGAACGACGGACGTTCACTCGGACCAATCAGATACTAGATTTTCGGTTCGCATCACAGTTACTGTGCTGGTTCCC